CAGGTAAAGTATTGTACATGTCGCGCGTGACAATGCCAATACACGTGAGGTGATAACTCCATCGCGACATTCCAGGCGTGCACAGATCTGTCTTGTCCTTTTGACACACCCAGTCTCAACATCGTTGGAACATATCAAAGACGTTCACCCTGGGACTCCGAGCGTTCAAATAAGAGAGTGAGCGAGTGGGTGAGTGGGTGTGTGGGTGAGTGAGTGGGTGAGTGAGTGGGTGAGTGGGTGGGTGAGTGGGTGAGTGAGTGGGTGAGTGGGTGGGTGAGTGAGTGGGTGAGTGGGTGGGTGAGTGGGTGAGTGAGTGAGTGGGTGAGTGAGTGGGTGGGTGAGTGAGTGGGTGAGTGAGTGGGTGAGTGGGTGTGTGGGTGAGTGGGTGGGTGAGTGGGTGAGTGAGTGGGTGGGTGAGTGAGTGGGTGGGTGGGTGAGTGAGTGGGTGGGTGAGTGGGTGGGTGAGTGGGTGAGTGGGTGAGTGAGTGGGTGAGTGGGTGGGTGAGTGAGTGGGTGAGTGGGTGGGTGAGTGGGTGAGTGAGTGAGTGGGTGAGTGAGTGGGTGGGTGAGTGAGTGGGTGAGTGAGTGGGTGAGTGGGTGTGTGGGTGAGTGGGTGGGTGAGTGGGTGAGTGAGTGGGTGGGTGAGTGAGTGGGTGGGTGGGTGAGTGAGTGGGTGGGTGAGTGGGTGGGTGAGTGAGTGGGTGAGTGAGTGAGTGGGTGAGTGGGTGGGTGAGTGGGTGGGTGAGTGAGTGGGTGGGTGAGTGGGTGAGTGGATGGGTGAGTGAGTGGGTGGGTGAGTGAGTGAGTGGGTGAGTGAGTGGGTGGGTGAGTGAGTGGGTGAGTGGTGAGTGAGTGGGTGGGTGGGTGAGTGGGTGAGTGAGTGAGTGGGTGTGTGAGTGAGTGAGTGGGTGTGTGAGTGGGTGGGTGAGTGAGTGGGTGGTGAGTGAGTGAGTGAGTGGTGAGTGAGTGAGTGGGTGAGTGAGTGGGTGAGTGGGTGGGTGGGTGTGTGGGTGAGTGGGTGGGTGAGTGGGTGGGTGAGTGGGTGGGTGAATGGGTGAGTGGTTGAGTGGGTGGGTGAGTGGGTGAGTAAATGGGTGAGTGGTTGAGTGGGTGGGTGAATGGGTGTGTGAGTAGGTGCACCTAGTCTGGCACCTGCTGTGTATGTCACGTGACCTCCTCCTGGTGTCTGTTTTTGTGTGTGTGTCTGTGTGTGAGTCTGTGTGTGTCTGTGTGTGAGTCTGTTTGTGTGTGAGTCTCTTTGTGTGTGTCTGTGTTTGTCTGTGTGTGTCTATGTGTGTCTGTGTGTGTGTCTAAGTCTGTGTGTGTGAGTCTGCTTGTGTGTGTCTGTGTGTGTCTCTGTGTGTCTGTGTGCGAGTCTCTGTGTGTGTCTGTGTGCGTGTCTCTGTGCGTGTCTCTGTGCGTGTCTCTGTGCGTGTCTGTGTGTGTGTCTCTGTGTGTCTGTGTGTGTCTCTGTGTCTGAGTCTCTGTGTGTCTGCGTGTGAGTCTCTGTGTGTGTGAGTCTCTGTGTGTGTCTCTGTGTGTCTGTGTGTGAGTCTCTGTGTGTCTGCGTGTGAGTCTCTGTGTGTGTCTGTGTGTGAGTCGTTGTGTGTCTGTGTGTGAGTCTCTGTGTGTCTGTGTGAGTCTCTGTGTGTGTCTGTGTGTGAGTCTCTGTGTGTGTCTGTGTGTGTCTCTGTGTGTCTCTGTGTGAGTGTCTGTGTGTGTGAGTCTCTGTGTGTCTGTGAGTCTCTGTGTGTCTGTGTGTGAGTCTCTGTGTGTGTCTGTGTGTGAGTCTCTGTGTGTGTCTGTGTGTGAGTCTCTGTGTGTCTGTGTGTGAGTCTCTGTGTGTGTGTCTCTGTGTGTGTCTGTGTGTGTGTCTGTGTGTGTGTGTCTGTGTGTGAGTCTGTGTTTGTGTGTCTCTGTGTGTGTCTGTGTGTGTCTGTGTGTCTGTGTGTGTGTCTGTGTGTCTGTGTGTGTGTCTGTGTGTGTGTGTCTGTGTGTGTGTGTGTCTGTGTGTGTGTCTGTGTGTGTCTGTGTGTGAGTCTCTGTGTTTGTGAGTCTCTGTGTGTGTGTGTCACTGTGTGTGTCTCTGTGTGTGTCTGTGTGTGTGTCACTGTGTGTGTGTCACTGTGTGTGTGTGTCTGTGTGTCTGTGTGTGTGTGTCTGTGTGTGTGCCACTCTTTCATTGACAACTCAGAGAAGTCGGATTGGGAATGATTAATAGAATGTTTTTTTATTTCACAAGGTGACACACAGACACAGACAGACACACACACAGACACAAACAGACACAAACACACGCACAAACACACACAGACACACACACACAGACACACAAACACACACAGACACACACAGACACACACACACAGACAAACACAGACACACACACACAGACACACACACACATAGACACACACACAGACACACACACACAGACACACACACAATGCAAAGTGACATCTTGCCTGTCTGTCCTGTCTCTGTGTGTCTCTGTGTGTGT